TGTTGGGGGGGGGGGGGGGAGGGGGACCTTTGAAAATGCAATATGGCTATTCATGTTATGTTACTGTAAGGATTCAAACTTATCTTCAGCTGCCAGTTCTGCTCATGTGCTCATGTTCATGAAGGCGGGAGTTTTTGCCTCTGCCCTTGGTTTCTCTCCACCTTTGGAGCATTATCTCTGTTCCTGCAAATCAATAAAACTTCTCTGATGTAATGCTGAAATGAAGCTACCCATTTACTGAGACAGATCATAAGCAAGCTGGTTAATCTTCACACTGTGGAGAAGTGGCACATCATATAAATGCAATAACCAAGCCTTAGAATGAAAGATTACACAGATTAATCTAAGATTACATAGATTCTGAGCAGGAATCTACAAAGATACTATCAGTAGTTATGTGTTATAATCCTTTGGTTACCTGAAGCAATCTCCTGATTGAATGATTTATTTATCATTCCTTGTGCCTGATGTACAAATGATTTTAATTTCAATTCTAAATACGTACCAAATTCTGGGCAAATGCTATTTATGTCAGCCAACCTGTCTTGAGCACCCTCAAGTTCACTACCACAGCAATCCAATTCATTCAGCAGAAGAAGAGAAATGCAACTGTTTTAAGTAAGTCAGGATCACGACCATCACAAGGTGCTGCTCTGAGCAGCTACCCCAAAACCCATGTATTGGGAGCTCAGGGGCATGTAATGAAAAACACTGGCTGCCTCCCTCACCTCATTTAAAAAACATTAAAAAAATGCTGCAGTGCATTGGGCTCTTAAGTCATCCTAAACAAACAATACATTAGCATAGCCATCTGTTTGGGCGACCAGCTGCAAGACATGCGGTTAGAAGACCAACGGACCACGAAAAATCACGGGCTGCTGGGCCAGTTCAGCAGCTGAGAGGCAGCAGCCAGATGGCCAGTCGGCACACCCCACTCTTCGCCAGCCAGTGAGTCAAACACATGCGACAGATCAGGGAGTGGGTGATGGGGCTGAAACTAGGACACTGAGGTTAGCGAGGGACATGGAATAGAGAAGATGTGGCCAAGTGGTGGGAAAGAGTCTCACCCATTACTTTAATAGGGCGCCCTAGCTTATGAACAAGAAATTCGGAGCAAGATTTAGCAATCCAGGCAGTTAAGAAGATTTTTTTCACCTTAGGCAAGACATTCAGTGCTGAGAACAGTCTTCATTGTAGGGATTGTTCAAAATTTGCATCTTTGGCCTCTCCAGTGTATTCACTTTGACTTTATGCAAATAAAAATAATGCTAACAGTTACATCTTCTGAGTCAGAGGCTTCAGGTAAGGCAGCTCGACGCTTGGGAAACAAGACAAGCACACGCATTTCTCAAGCCAGGGTATGTTTTTATATATTTATATTCCAGTGGTGAAATGCTAATCTGGATAATGCAGGCCACTAAAACGGTTACTTCTTACCTAGTCTGAGTTCTCCAAAGTTCCCACACCCAATCTTCTTGCCCACTCTGAAGTTGGGTCCCACCATAAGAACGCCAGAAGACGCCGATGAGCTTGGTCGAGAACCATGCCCGCTCCTTCCCGGCATTCCTTTCGTTGTCCGCTGCCTTTCATCCTTTTCCCTATTAGGATGGTCCATGATCTTAGTGAAATATCTCTGCCAGCAAGCTGGCAGAAAGGAATTGGAGTACGCACTCTTCTCCTTAGAATAGAAATATATATCCAAAAGTATCTGAGTCAGGGTTCAAGAGAGTCATGGAAACGCATGGAGTTCCTTTTGGCACTATATCCAGTTTCCTAATGCATCTTGATAATGTACCAAGGGGTCGATTATATTCTTGAGAACTCAATAAAGGCAGGTTGCTTTTGGTTTCTTACCTGGGGAAAAGAAAAAAGATATATGAAAAAACCATCATTATTTTAAAATACTGAGCAAGAAATGTACAACAGGGCCAACGTCCAGCACTTTCCTGGTCTCAAGAAAATTAACAGCTATACGGGAACTTAACCATTTTCTTAGCAATTTTCTGATAAAAAGCCCCGATGTTATGAAGAGATATAAGTACTGCCCATCCACTGCTTGCTACTGGAGTTATCAGGACTCACGCTGCACGTACTAACAAAAGCAATTTCAATTACACCAGCACATCAGGTGGAAACTGCAAGGAGATCACATCCCATCTTTAAAGCAACTTTCTTCTCACCTCATACATTTAGAAAGTATTACACAAAAGCCAGACAAAAAATAAAAAGTGGCAAATGAAAGGTGCCAAGAAAAGAAAATATTGAAGCACTTAGGAAGTCAAATTCTCCTTCATTTTACATCTTTTAAAGTTGACCACAGATACATTTGCTAATTAAGACTGTTGTCTTACAGAGATGACAAAAATTAGTAGCCAAAGCAAGATTTTTTTAAAATAATAAAGCTAGAAATTTCCTGAAATTTATATCAACATACAGTTCACGTTAGTAACTTGATTTAGTTCCCCAAAAAATGAGGTTTTGGAAAAACAGATGTTCTAATGGAATCGGGTGAGGAACTCAAGGGCCAAGATCTTCTCCAGCTGCCTGCATTCATGACTGGCAAACAAAAGCCTGACAGTTCTCCCAGAGAAAACGAAGTACACCTTCCTCCCGCATGTCCAAACTTGTCAACACCATAACCCCAAGGGCAGGCAACTCTGGACTACTCCAGACAGCGTACTGGTGCATCTCATGAGCATCAGTCTGCTAACTCTGTCAAAAGAGGACAAGAAATAGATGCTTCTCAAGCCATGGAGAGGCCAAGTGGTTCCTCTGTGCCCACGCACCAGCCCAAAAAAGACAGGCAGGAGCTGTACAGACCCAGGAGGTCCTGCTCCACGAGTGCAGTCCAGGAGCACAGGGAAGACTGACACCTCACCACGAGACCCCTTTCCTAGAACGTGAACTCACACTGAATCGTTAGCGCAGCCAAATGATTCAGCTCAGTCCCACTGTGGTCAGAAGGAATTTCTACCACTCAGGCATGAAACTCTGAAGCCTCTGTAGCAACAGATCATTGTGGCCTGAAGGGACAGTCCAGAAGTAGCAGCGGTGGTGGGTGAGCTTCCCCTCATTTCCCAAGCAATCAGCAAGGACGAAGGGAAAGGTTGCAGCATACTTTATACAGACGCTGCCTTGGGAGCCAGTATTAGGTGGCAGATGTAGACACTCTGGAGATGCTTATGGTGCAGTTCTTAAGCAAGAACTGAAATAAATATACCTGGAGCTATCCCCCACATCCCAGGACCTATACGTACTGGATTGTACTCCTTTAGGGGACACTGTTGCATTCACGATTTTCCAGATGTGAATGGTAGAGTGCCTGAATAGCTTTAGATACAAGGTTTGTGTCCTACTTCAGCTGTAGGCATCCACGTAGAAGTTTCAATGTTTGCATGGAAGTCAGCACATACCTCCAAAGTCAGCAGAGAAATGCTATATGAAACCACCTAAACAAGAAAGAGTCAATGTGGAAGGACATCAGCAATCGAACACTATCGGATACGCCCAGAAACACAACCATCTTTATGAGGGTTCAACAGTTACTAAGACAATTGGCTTAGTCCTCCTGTAGCAATACATTTGTAGAGGATTTAACAAGGATGTCTTCTGTTCGTTTCATGAGATGATGAAGCTAACCTACCTACTTCCAGTTATCCAATAATAAAAGACAAGAGTTATTACCCATCCACAAACCAGTGGCATGGAACAAAAGCATTAGCCCTTTTGAAATACGAGTATGCTTTCCCTAGCCTTCAACTGTGGTATACTTTTATGTCTGGGAACTTTTGTTTTGATCTAAGGCATCTGTATACAAGGCAGAAGTCATTCACACTAGATGCAGAAAATGCAGGTAGCTGCCAGCTGGAAATTCCAGTTCTGAATATTGAACTAGTCTTTAGTACAACTCTGACCTTTTCTATCCATTTCCATTTGCAGTTCTGTGTGTTTGCACAAAAGAGGGCACAGTTCTCCCCAGCTTGAGCTTCCTCCCCAGATCTTTTTTTTTTTTTAAATACTTCTGCAAAAAAAGGAAAGATTAAATACAGAGAATGCACAACTTAAACACCACTTCACAATTACTTTCCACTGCTTTTGTTCATATATTATTGCAGGCTTCTATATCAGACAGGGAGTTTGGAAGACTCTAAGCAGACTCCATCTTCATAGGAAGGATGCTGTGTCCCTCCACAGTGTATTAGGAAGACCTTGAGGAACTAATAATAGCGTAAAGAAACATCCATACACGTGAATGGATGCTTCATGCAACATAACAACCCCACAAAACCACCCATCTTTAACAGTTTATACTAATGTTTAGAACCTAGCTCAGGTTGCACAGGTTACAACCCACAGGATATTTCATCTAGCCTGTGACTCAGCAGCCCTCTTTTCTGGAGTGAAAGCAGATGAATTCTCATTGTCACTCTGCACAAAGGTGGATCTCTGCAGAAAATGTCATACAGCATGTTTGCAGCAAATCCAGGAGGTCTGAAAATCATCAGGTCATCTGAGAACCTCTGTATTGCGTCCATACTACCAGTTTGGCCATACCAACCCAAAAGCTGCAGCGTCAAACTCCCCAAACGGTACTAAGTAATGTGCGAAATGCCATTCATGATTAAGTACTGCTGGCCTAGCTACAGACAGAAGAGTTGGAGATGTTCACATACAAGAAATTCAATATTTAGTATTACCAAGCTTTACTTGCACCTGAAATTAATTCAAGATTTAATACTTAAAACTGAATATGGATAAGCAGGAAGCATCCGTTACAGGCAAACAGGATGAACTGGTTTTTCATCATAGACATCCCAACATACTTTCAGCTGCAGTGTTCATTTTGAGGGAGTGAGTTAGTGCTGCTTCTCAAAGCTGTTTGCATAGAAGCAAGCACAGTTGTATTTGCTTTGTGAAACCAGCTTGCAGAAGCAATGACGATGCTCTATCAGATATCAGAAAAGCACTTTATTGGACCCCACCCCAACCTGTCCTGGGAGGAGTTACTTGCTTCAAAACAAACGTAAAAGAAGGATAGTCATTGAAACTGAGGAAGTTAATTGCTGAACAGAAATCAAATGTGATGATGGTGATGATGATGGAGTGCTTCCACAGCTGGATCACTAAGAAATATGAGCCGAACAGAGGAATTTTATGAATAAAAAAAGTAGCACTTTGGAAAACACACTTGATCTCACCAAAGCCAGACAGGAGAATTTGTTTCCCCTGGAGACCAATGTCATTATTTTCATCATGGTTGGATAATCCATGGGCAACAACTACAGGCCTCACAAAAGGGTAACAGAAAGAAGTCTCTAGCAAGAGCACAAATCCTGCCCAGTTTACGCTTGGAAAAAACAATGCACAGTACTGTGTGACACATGAAGCTCTGCACAGCTCTGTAGACTGAGGAGATACTACTATGAAGGACTACATGGAAGAGGGGCTAAAAACCCTGAAAGAAAGGCAAAATCTGCATGACGGGGACTGATTACAGCACAGGAAGGAGGAATGATACAATTTTTATGAAGTTGCAAATGGCTTTTCTTCTTGCTCATTCAGTTAACAGTTACATGGCCAGTAGAGAGCGTAAGAAGAGTCAATATAAGCTAAAACCACTGGAAAGGGTTTCTAAAGAACCCTGATGAACATCAGGTGGACTGAGAAGAGACAGGCTGTTTAAGAATACACTACAGTGTTTTCCTGCATGATGCCAAAAGCCATTTAACCTTCCTTCTGCCATGAAGTACTACCAGCTTTTGACCTGCAGAGTAGACGGATCCAGGTATTAAGGTTTTGCAGCAGAACCTGATGCCTAGGTGCAGGTCTTTTCAAAGTTGTTTGGCTACCTGCTACCACAAGACAGCATCATTACAGAAAAGCATTTTACCAGCTGTGATAAAATGGAGCTGAAAGCCACTGAAAGGTAAAGGCACAAAATTTAACATGTTTCAAATGGTTCGCATGAGCTGGCCCTGATCTTCAGCGATTACAGGGCAGGTGGTGCTCAGTCAGTGCTTGATGACACAAATACATCATTCCTCTAAGGGCTGCTCAAGCCTCTTGTGAACGCAAGCCCTCCTAAGCCTCAATACAGCTTCCTCCTCCTCCAGACTAAGTCTGAACTCAGCTCAAGTCCTGCGTGCCAAGTTTCAGATCCGACATCAGAAATATACTGCTTGGTTTGACACACCATGTTGCTCAGTGCATGTCAGATGAGACAAGCAACTCCATTCTTTTCAGGCAGATTAAGTACAGAGCTCCCACCACACGTTTTCTGGCTAATGAAATAAGATGTTAACGGTTATAAGCTACTAAGCCTTCATCCTTCTCCTGTTCCCCATCTGTATAAAGTCTCCTCAGGGAGAAGCATGGAAAGGTCATGCCTGACAGTCTGCAAACAGTAAACATCATCTCTCTCAGTTGAAGCCTCCTGCAAACAGGAATTCAGATCAGCAACAAATGAGTGAACCAAGCATTTGAGAACCTCTTTATTATGGTGAACCCTACAAGCAGATCCCAGCTGTCGGTACACTGAATCGCACAACGTTCTTTCATTATTGTTACTACATACTAAACCCGACTGTAGTAAATATGGCATCAAGTATGGCTTTTGAGGACTAACAAAGTGCTTGGCTTTGGAAGAGGAGTGGCAGAAGAATGAAGACTAGACTGTAATTTGAATTCAGTCACGTTAATATTTAAAGAGTACTCAATGCCAGGACTATTTCCTTCCACAATTCAAACTTTTTCATAACGATTTTCCTTCTTACCTTTCCACCCACTCAGCAAGATTGCTCCTGAAAGTTACTTGCATTTAAACAAAGCTGCATGAAGATATTTCCCTAATGGTG